GCGCTGGGAGGGCGCCGGTACCGCGGCCCGGTACCGCCGGCGAGGCCCGGTGCCGCCAGGCCTGCCGCGGAGCTGTTTTCCACGAGGAGGAGACGTTAGGTTTGTCATGACGGTGACTTTACTCCTTCTTCCTTCTTGTGTAGGCGATCGTCTGTGACAATCAGTCCAAAATGCCAGCGCTGTTCTTTACCCGGCCGTTTTCAGGCCGGCTTTTGCCTCTAATGGTCGCGCTGCTAGGTCTGACGCGCGCTGCCTTTTCTGCCAGCGCTGACCAAGGTGGTGGTAACAACATGCAGTTTCCGTGGGATAAAACGAGGCTCCCCAAGCACGTTATCCCAGTGCATTATGATCTCCTCATCCATCCTAATCTCACCACTCTGACATTTTCTGGGTCCGCTAAAATAGAAATTACAGTTAGCCAGCAAACCAGTTCAGTCATCCTGCACAGCAAACGCCTGCACATCACCAAGGCTGCCATCCAGGCTGGGGCTGGCAGTGCCCGCTCCCTGCAAGAGGTGCGGGTTTTGGAGCACCAGCCCTTGGAGCAGGTGGCGCTCCTTGCTGCTGAACCACTGCGGCCTGGGCACAGGTACACCGTCAGCATCCACTACTCTGCAAATCTCTCCGAGTCTTTCCACGGCTTTTATAAAAGCACCTACAGAACCCAGGACGGAGAACTCAGGTAATTTTTTTGTAAATTAATAGATGTTACTTCTGTGACATTAAATGCAACCATGCAACATAACTGCTTTTAGAATTTGCTGTCATTTACCTTCTGTTTCCTTGTTTGAAACTGTTCTCTCTGAGGATCCTCTTCCATTTTACAGACCAAGTTGCATCAAATTGTATTTGTAATTGGCTGTTTATCTCACAGAGACTCTCATCCTTTCATGGCAGTAGTGAGGTTCTTGATTTTTGGCCTTAATCTGCCAAGACATCTGTTGATTTCCCCTGGAGTGTGGTGAGAGGAAGAGGCAGGGAAGTCATTGAGCTCAGAACAGATTGCCTGTTATTCCACAGCACCCTGGGGGAGTTTAGTTAAGAAGTTTAAATTGCCCACCTCAGATCCCCACCACAGATGGAGAAACAGTAATTCTGTACTTGACATGCAAAAATGTTTGGTAGTACCCATAGTTATTTTGTGAATTTGAAATTATTCTTTTTTCACGCATGAAGGTTGTGAACGCTGTGCATATGAAGGAGTGTGACTAAAAAACATTTTTTTTGTCTAATTATAGAGTACTTGCATTAACACAGTTTGAACCGACAGCTGCACGAATGGCCTTCCCGTGTTTCGATGAACCAGCTTTCAAAGCCAGATTTTCAATTAAGATTAGGAGGGAACCAAAGCACCTTGCACTATCCAATATGCCAATTGTAAGTGGATATTTTTAATGATGCGCTGTTGGTTTGTGACCTTTAAAACAAGAAAGTAAAAGGAGAACAGAATATCTAGGCAATTGCTGTTCATGGGAATGTTGACCTGAACATTGCCACGGTGCTGTTATTAGATTATGTAGTGTGATTGCTGGCAGTTTTGACAACAAGGCTGAAAAGGAAGGAAGGACATCATGCATCATGTGGGGTGCCGCTTCTTACCTGAAGTTTGAGAAAATTCATCACAATGCAGATTCCATAGCCCTTATTTCATACACAGAACTTTTTGCATCACTTAGATTTTTAAGAATGAACGATGACATTTATGTGAATAAATACGTAAGAGGATCCACATGTATTAACTTCAAATATCTGCTAAGCAGCTCCTTTTATTTAAAATAAGATAATCTGAATTTTAAAAAGACACATCTCAGAGTGAAGGTGCAGTACATGTAACAGTTACAAATACTGCTGGTGATTCCATATATATATATATAAAAGACATATGTAGGGTTAGTTACATTTTGTACATTTGATCTTACTTTGGGCATAAGAGATTCTGAATAAGTTCTTCTTAGCTGTATACCAAATAATACTTAACAATGAGACAACAAAAACCACAAAGTACCATTCAGAACAAAACGTTTTGAAAGATGGTTTAAAAATTAAGTTCTTTCATAGAGAAATGGATAAAACTGATGAATAAAGAGCAGATGCAAGTGTTATAATTCAGTATGGCTAAACGTCTTCTAAGTCTAGATTCATTACCAAAGGCTCTAGATACCTCCAACGGCTGATGCATTTTGTCCTAAAAAAGAGATATGTAAGGTAGCTGAATCAGTCTCTGGAGGAGTTCATTTCTCTCATTTTAATCAGCTAATGTTGTGTAGGATTAATTCTATCAATGTGCTAACAAACACTGAGGAAAATTGAAGCAGAGAGTGATATTTCTTATTGTCTAATTTCAGCATCGTATGGATAACGCTACTCAGGTGCATGGTTTTAGGGGTGGGGAGGATTTCCTTACCGTATCTCTTTAAAATGTTCTTAATGACACTGAAAAGAAACACAGCAATTTTTGGTGCCAAGGTCTTAATAAATAGCGCTATTGAACGATGAGCTGTGTCCTAATTTTTCAGATGAAATCTGTGAATATAGCTTCATGGCTTGTTGAGGACCATTTTGATACCAGTGTCAAGATGAGTACTTACCTTGTGGCCTTTATTGTTTCGGATTTTAAATCCATCAGCAAAATAACCAGTCATGGGATTAAGGTAACTCTTGTTTCATTTTCTGCGAGCTTGTCTGTAATAAAGTCTGTATTGAATACATATGGTTTACTTTTCAGTTAAATTACTTGCTTGATACATCATGAAGTTTGATAGAAACGAGAGGAGAGAAAGGAATTGATTTATTTATCAGTTTCAAATGTTTTTGATAATGTGCTTGCTTTTTATATACTTGCATGTATTGGTAACATTGTTTCACATAAGATTATTTAATCCAATACAAACTAAATATGTTTTTCATAACGGAGAACCAGCAATGAAATAATGCTGTGTCAGCTGAACGATTCTTTAACATTGCAGGGGATGGAAATTGTAGAAGTCCTTGTAGGGGTATAATCGTTCTGGCAGATAAGTTTTAAAAATCGTGTTTCTAATTTTAATCATATTTTCCTAAAAATTTTTGCACGCTTTTGCAAACTCTTGTATGAGAAATGTTAGATATAGTTCTAGTGTCACTTTGTATGATCATTCAAGTAAACGTAGAAAAGAACAGATTCATAAGCTTCTGATGCTGGCGTTGAAATACTGCCTGCTTGTTTCCTGTAGATTTCTGTATTCGCAGTACCAGACAAGATCAACCAAGCTGATTATGCGCTGGATGCAGCAGTGAAACTTCTAGACTTTTATGAGGATTACTTTAGCATTCCATATCCTTTGCCTAAGCACGGTAAGTGTTAAATAATTTAATGTGTTTAAGAACATTATCAAAAATAGAAAGTAAAATTGCACAGAATTAATAATTTAGAATAACAGGACGGGACCAAGGTTGGCTCACAGGCTTTTAGACAGAAAGTTTACTTTTTGCTGGCTGCTTCACATAACTGCAGAATAAGTTAAAAAGCTCCACTGATAACTAAGAAACCCTGAATCTCCTTCTAGAGCTTTTTAAAAAGTCTATTTTTGCTATCTTGTTATAGAAATGTATGTGATATGTATGCCTGTGTGTGGGAGCCTTAGTGAATCCCTGAAGTGCGATGAGGTGAGCAAGTTCTTTATTGAGTAAAACAGCACTAATAGTATTTTAATGTATTTCTAGATTTAGCGGCCATTCCTGATTTTCAGTCTAGTGCTATGGAAAACTGGGGACTGACCACATACCGGGAATCTGCATTGCTGTATGACCCTGACAAGTCCTCGGCATCCTCTAAACTTTGGATTACTATGTTAATAGCCCATGAACTGGCTCATCAGGTGAGAATTGGGGATAACAATAAGGGATCAGAATGGGCTGGTAGAATGGTCAAGCTGGATGGATCCTGTGTGGGTAGGGGGATATTTGAGCTATAAACTGAAAATAGCTACTTCATCTGCGTATCCTCCTTCAAGCAAGGAGTCCAGGCAGGCTTCATAGATGTGCAGGGCTGTAGACATAAACGTATTTACTTCAGTAGCTCCACTGCTCTGGGACCATTGCACCATTGTCAACCTTTGAAACTAATTGCAGACCGCAAAAATAAGTGCATAAATGTTTTGGAATGTTACTGTTTCATATGTAGTTCTCCTACCAACCATGGATCATTTACAGTGTTTCATGGAACGCTGGTGGAAGTCAGTGATTTAGCCTGTTTAAATAAGAAATGAAATAAGAAGCCAGGGTACCGTGTATCATTAAAATAAGTGTTTCTTAAAGCTCAGTAACATACTATAAATTCAGTTTCATACAGGTCGGTAGCAGCTATTGTAACAAACTGTGTATTTTGATTTCTGAAGTGTTCACGTTTGTGAGAAATGTATTTTTTGTTTCAGTGGTTTGGCAACCTGGTTACCATGGAGTGGTGGAATGATCTCTGGTTAAACGAAGGGTTTGCAAAGTTTATGGAGTTCGTGTCAGTCAGCATTACCCACCCAGAACTGAGAGTTGTAAGCAGCAATTACCATATTTTCTTTTATAACTGCCTTCTAAAACCAATAATTTGTAGGGATACAGATCAGACAGGTTTGTCCTATGAATCACTTTTTAATTTATCTATAAAAAGATGATCTGATGTTAACCCTGAAGAATAAGAATGTTGATTTAAATGTATGTAAATATTTGCAGAAACTGATGATGAGAGTTAATGATTGCTATGAATCTTCTTTTTTTAAAAATATTCAGACACCCCTAAAATACAAAGAAATGATTTTGTCTTTTTTTCTATCACATAGAGTTGGATATAAAAACATAATGAAAACACTTAGATCCTTCCACAAGCTTTAGCACTGGTCCAGTATATGACATTTTTACAGGTATGACTAGTTCTGCCAAAGTGAGTTAAGCAATGCAGTGAGCAGATCTGTGCAGGATTTTTCAAATTGCCATAGCACTACAGTGGATTGCTAGTACATAAATTCACCTGACTTGGTTTTTTTTTCCTTAGTTTGTTTTATGATTTCTGACCACTCTGTCATCAAACTCTTAAAATGCATAGGTGTCCTTTTGGAGTTATTTACTAGGTAGACTATTTAAGTTAGTATAGAATACTGTAGACAACCTGGCTGTCAGTATTAGTTATTTATTTTTTTGTGCTCTGGAGTAAAAATAAAAAGATATGTTTTGTTTTCTTTGTACAGTTTGAAGATGATGTGAAAGGGCCTGACATATGAACTAATAAGAATTCCATGGTCACAAGCAAAATTTAATAGTAGTTATCATTTTTGCCTCCTATTAGGAAGATTATTTCTTAGGCAAATGTTTTGATGCCATGGAAGTGGATGCATTAAATTCATCGCATCCTGTGTCTACTCCTGTGGAAGAGCCAGCTCAAATTTTAGAAATGTTTGATGATGTTTCTTATGAAAAGGTAAAATCTGTACCTGCTGTTGATTTCAGTTGTTCTCATTGTCCTGTACAATTGTATTGTATCAATTTCACCCTAAGCGGAGACGAAAGACATCTCTGACACATGGTGTTGATATCCTTCTCTTTTGACTTGCATAATTCTTTGTGCAAAACTCCGGGATGGAGATGAAATGGTTCATTACTTTTCCATTTGTAAATGAGGGTGCTTTTACTCCCTTTATCTGTTCTGTATCAATTTAGCCATAAACTATGGTTTAAGGTGCTTAAACCAAGCAGCATTTTTCATAGGAGCATTATATGGTGCCTTAATTGTACAGTAACTGCTCAGTACCCAAGCTCAAAAAATAACAACATAGTTTGCTTGAACAGAGATGTTTTTAATAATAATGATCATGAAAACCAAAGTACTGTTTCAATTTATGTGATTAAGCCTGCTTATTCTTTAGTCAGAGAGCCGTTTAAAAGTGAACTATTATGTGTATTAGTAGCATTTAGAAATTTTTTTCAAAGAGTTATCTGGCCATCTAAGAAGTAAATTTTTTAAAAGCTTTGTGACTTTTTTCAGGGATCTTGTATATTAAATATGCTGAGGGACTATATGACTGCTGATGTGTTTAAAGCTGGACTTGTGCAGTATCTGCAGAAATACAGCTATCAGAATACAAAAAATGAAGATTTGTGGAACAGTATGACAAAGGCAAGTATTTTTTAGTCTCTTATATTTTCAGACTTCATAACTTCTCATGAGCAGTGTGAACTCTCTTAATATATTACTGAAGACTGTGACCAGTGCCCATGATTTATAGTTATGAAATTAAGGATGACCACCGATGTTTTTTTCAGATCTGCCCTACTGTAGGTACTGATGAAAATGAACTGCAAGGTGATAATTTTTGCAGAAGAAACCAACCGTCATCTTCAACTGCAGTAAGCATCTGTCCTGTTACTACTGTTAGCGTTCTGTTCTGTTGCGTTGATATATGCACCTTGCAAAAGCATTCTTTATCACTTCAGCATGATTCTTGAGAGGGCGTAGGTTTCTTCAGTTCTGTTGGAAATCCAGTCTTTCTGAGATTGAACAGAAATCTTATCCTTGAGCCCAGGACTGACTGAAAAACAGTGCTACTTAAAGTGCTGTGATGACTGCATGAAATTGTCTACAGGAAGACAAAGTCAGAGACATGATTTCCCATGTTCCAGTCTCAACTCACCTATGTAAAGCTTACAAATACCCAGCAGCTCTTATGAAGTTCTTACATACTCATTTCTGTTCTGTTGTCAGTGTACTTCATTTTCCTGCTTTTCTTATGTATCTTCTTCTTTCCTCGCTAAAACACAGCACTGGACCAGAAGAGAGACTCTTGATGTGAGGGCAATGATGAACACTTGGACACTGCAGAAAGGTTTTCCCTTGGTAACCGTCACAGTGAGAGGAAAGAATGTCCATTTGCAGCAGGAGCGCTACATGAAGGGAGTGGATTCTCCTTCACCCAAAGAGTAAGCAAAATGGGAAATCCCAGCATGCAAGCTGGCATCCACCTTTGGCAGGCTTTGATATATGATAAGAGCTTTTACTGTTGTTTCTTAAGGAATCCTCCCTGAGCAGATCAGTTGTGAGGCTTTTTCTGTGTAACTTGGGGTCAGTACTGAGTCGGCAGTAGATGTGGCTGGACTCTCAGGACCCAGCTGAGGTACCAGTAGCCGCAAAGGTACAGTGGCAGGACATCTAGATGAGCTGAATAAACCTGCACAGGAGACGCGCTGGGGGAACTAGGCTAGAAAGTTCATATGGTTGCAGCGTCACTATTGCTGGTCACCCAAGCAAACTAAATTAAAGCTAGCTAGATGCGTCTGGTCCTGCACTGAAATTGGAGATGTAAGAGCATCTCATTGCTGTTATACTCCAGACAAAAGACCTTACTCAGCTGTTAGACTGAACCAAGTTGGAGAAGCTTTTGCAAAGTTCTGTCATTAAACAAAGCACTTCTGTTTTGCAATAGGTACTTGTGGCATATTCCACTAACCTACATTACCAGTAAATCTGACACTGTTCAAAGATTTTTGATGACAACTAAAACAGGTAATTTTCTTTTATGGTGATTAATTTATTCAAAGTTTATTTGCAAGCCTTTTAGCTCTGCAGGGTTTTTTTGCAGCATGGGGAACTGGAACTGCTAGTGCAAGATGCACACTTTTTTTTGTCGATCTGTATTTCAGTAACATCACTGTAAGTATTTCTTAATATATTCAGAAATCATGTTACTGTTTTCTTTAAATCCCTGGAATGAGAGTAAGAATTTTTGTTGGCTCTTATATGACACTGTGTTTGAATCGCGAATAAAAAGAGTTCTGTTTTTGTTTGTAGATGTCCTCATCCTTCCAGAAAAGGTAGAATGGATTAAATTCAATGTTGGCATGAATGGATATTACATTGTGCACTATGAAGATGATGGATGGGATCATCTGATTAAACTTTTGAAAGAGAACCGTACAGTGATTAGCGGCAATGACAGAGCAAGTCTCATTAACAATGTCTTCCAGCTTGTGAGGTAACATTTTCTCAGTCTGAAAAGACACAATCTCTGCATTTCTGAGTATATATCACTGAAGCAGGAAATGTTGATAATGTATACTATATTATTCATTAAATCTTTTAAGTAAACTGAGAGCACATTCTTTTCTCGCTTCCGGCAATGTAAACCCAGAATTTCTCTTTGATTGCAGTGGAGTTACCGAAATCTAGTAAATGAAACAGAACCAGATGACATAGTAATCTCACTATTTGTTGTTTTCAAAAAGGAGGCTTGGAGCAGGGTTCTCTGTGAAACATAACATTTGGTATGTTAATTTAGTGCCAAATGCTTTTTAGTTCTGACTTCTGAGCTTCATTTTCACAAGAAAGCAGTGCAGAGAGGAGCGCTGTCCAAAATGATGA